AATTCTTCAAGCTCTGTCAAGTTGGTTGTTGATCATTGCTAGACAGACATTTTCAAGTCTTGCCATAGATTTTCAAGCCGATTTAAGTCAAAACTGTAACTAGGCCACTCAATGTCATCTTGGTAAACAACTCCAGTGTATATTTGGCCTTGTGTTTTAGGTTATTATCCTGCTGAAAGGTGAATTTGTCTTCCAGTGTCAGTTGGAAAGCAGACTGAACCAGGTTTTCCTCTTGGATTTTGCCTGTTCTTAGCTCTATTCCATTTATTTTTATCCTAAAAAACTCCATATTCCTTGCCATTTGAAGCCATATCCATAACATGATGCAGCCACCAACATGCTTGAAAATATGGAGAGTGGTACTCAGTGATGTGTTCTGTTGGATTTGCCCCAAACATAACGCTTTGTATTCAAGACATAAAGTTAATTTCTTTGCCACATTTTATGCTGTTTTACTTTAGTGCCTAATTGCAAACAGGATGCATGTTTTGGAATATTTTATTCTGTACAGGCTTCCTTCTTTTCATTCTGTCATTTAAGTTAGTATTGTGGAGTAACTACAATGTTGTTGATCCATGCTCAGTTTTCTCATATCACAGCCATTAAACTCTGTCACTGTTTTAAAGTCACCATTGGCCTCATGGTGAAATCGCTGAGCGGTTTCCTTCCTCTACGGCAACTGAATTAGGAAGGACGCCTGTATCTTCATAGTGACTGGATCTATTGACACACCATCCAAAGTGTAATTAATAACTTCACCATGCTCAAAGGGATATTCCATTTCTGCTTTTTACATTTTTTAGCAATCTACCAATAGGTGCCCTTCTTTGCAAGGCATTGGAAAACCTCCCTGGTCTTTGTGGTTGAATCTGTGTTTGAAATTCATTGCTCAACTGAGGGACCTTACAGATAATTGTATGTGTGGGGTACAGAGATGAGGTAGTCATTTAAAAATCATGTTAACACTATTATTGCACACATTGTGAGTCCATGCAACTTATTATGAGACTTGTTAAGCACATTTTTACTCCTGAACTTATTTAGTCTTGCCATAACAAAAGGGTTGAATACTTATTGACTCAAGACATTTCAGCTTTTCACATAATTCCACTTTGACATTATGGGGTATTGTGTGTAGGCCAGTGACAAAAAAATCTAAATGTTATCCATTTTAAATTCAGGCAATATTACAACAAATATGTGAAAAAAGTCAAGGGGTGTGGTCCTCTGTAGCTCAATTGGTAGAGCATGGTGGTTGAAACGCCAGGGTAGTGGGGTAGTATACTTATTGACAATATATTTTTTATTAATTTGTAAACATTTCTAAAAACATAATTCCACTTTGACATTATGGGGGTATTGTATTGTGTGTAGGCCAGTGACACAAAATCTCAATTGAATCCATTTTAAATTCAGGCTGTAACACAACAAAATGTGGAAAAAGTCAAGGGGTGTGAATACTTTAAATAAGACACCATATTTTCCTCTCACAACAATAAAGAAATCAGCATTCTCTCTCCCCCATCACATCTCTCTCTCTCACTTCCTTATCTAGAGTCATTCCAGCCACCCACTACACAGACACAACGGTCCAGCCATAGAATGATTATCACCTACTCAGGAGCATTAAAACCTAGAGGACGAATGACTATGCATAAGATACACAGATCATACCTCAGAGGATATGCTCTCTCTCTCTCTCTCTCTCTCTCTCTCTCTCTCTCTCTCTCTCGCTCATCTCTCTCACTCCTCTATCTTTCTACTTCTCTTATCTTCTCTCTAGCTCTCTCTCCGCACTGTCTAGATCTCTCTAGTCTCTCTCTCTCTCTCTCTCATCTCTATCATCTACTCTCTTTCTATCTCTCTCTCTTTCTATCTCTCTCTATTCTCTCTCTCTCAGTCAATCAATTCCATTTAAGGGGCTTTATGCAGGGAAGCAAATGTAACATTGCCAAAGGCAAGTGAAGTAGATAGTAAACAAAAGTGAATAAACAATAATATTAAATAAACATTACATCAGAAGTTCCAAAAGAATAAAGACATTTCAAATGTCATATTATGTATATATCCAGTGTTGTAACAATGTGCAAATAGTTCAAGTACAAATGGAAAAATAAATAAACATAAATATGGGTTGTATTTATAATGATGTTTGTTCTTCAGCGGTTGCCCTCTCTCTCTCTCGCTCTCTGACTCTCTCTCTCTCTAACTCTCTCTCTCTCTCTCTCTCTATCTCCCTCCCTCCCTCACCCCCTCTCTCTCTCTTCCTCCTTCTCTCTCTCTCTCTCTCCCTCTCTGACTCGATCTGTCTCTCTCTCTCTCTCTCTCTCTCTCTCTCTCTCTCTCTCTCTCTCTCTCTCTCTCTCGCTCTCTCTCTCTCTCTCTCTCTCCCTTTCTCCCTCTCAATTTCAATTAATTAAAAGTGCTTTATTGGCATGGGAAACATATATACATTGCCAAAGCAAGTGAAATAGATAATAAACAATCTCTCTCTTGATCTGTCTCGCTCCCCGTCTCTCCCCCCCCCCTCTCTTCCTCTCTCTCTTGCTATCTCTCAATCTCTCTCTCTTCTTCCCTCCTCTCCTCTCTCCTTGCTATCTCCCTTTCTCACTCTATCTCTCTTCTTCCCTCTCCCCTCTCCCTCTCTCTCTCTCTCTCTCTCTCTCTCTCTCTCTCTCTCTCTCTCTTAAAGCCTACATATGATCAATGATTTGTACATGTTATTAATTGCGTGGGACACACCCATCAATATCAGATCAATTCAGGCCACATGAATTAGTCTAAGACCAGTCAGAGGACTGGGGCCGCCCATACGTGAACATTCATGCACTCATGATGTAAGTCGCTTTGAACTAAAGCATCTGCTGAATAGCATGCTATTACTATATTATAGAGGAGACGTTGATGAGGCAATCAGTCAGTCAGTGTGATACAACAGTCAATAGTTATATTTATTGGCTGGGTTCCGTCCCAAATGGCACCCTATTCCTTTTATAATACACTACTTTTTTACAAGGGGCCCGTGAGGAACTGGTCAAACGTAGTGCACTAAATATATGGAACATGGTGCCGTTTGGGACACAGCCCTGGGAAATGTCAAGCCCGTTGGAAGCCCTTTGTGAAACTAATAACCATTGATCCCCACAGCACCGTAAAGCCATGCTAAGGAACAGATCCATAGTGTCAACAGGCCGTGCCAGGAGCTCTCTCCCAATAATCAATAGGTTAACCGTTAAGCCTGATTGGCTGATCAGAAATGATACATACCTACAGACTATTACTATAAGGTATACTGTATATAGGGTGTGTGCTATACAGCAAAAAATATTGGATTGAATTCATGCAATGACATGACTAGCATTCATCCCGCACACTGATGCTGCAACATGAACTCATCAATGGCATTATTTATTTAACTGGCTGGACAGAGTAGCCTGGTCTACATTCAAACATCAACTCTTGACAGTGAATGACGTGAGAAGTTGATGATGAGGAGGATGAGGAGAAGGAGGAGGATGACAATCAATATCTGTATGATTTCATCAAATCAGTTACCGGCAATACAACAAGCCTGAACTTCAGGGGAAAGGAGTACAGACTTGACCGGTAGTCAGAGGATGATGTTTGATGATAATGTGTATCCTAAAGACATAGTGTAAGCCCTGCGTCACCCTTAGGATGGTACCTCATCATCAGTCATCATCACTAACATGGCAGACAACAAATCTTGTCAAAATAATGAATGAGCAGAAATATCAACTTACCGCGATGCTGACGGTGTCATCTCCCTGGAATGAGGGGATGAATTTGTCTCCACGGATAATTTCGGAATGATTTAGAGGACGGAAGCGACATAGCACCTTGATATTACATTCTGCGCTAACATCGGCCATTGTGAGAAAGAAATCGGATGTGCCTCAAAAAGGCAAAAGGGATTTTTTTGGAAACCTATAAGTTACTTGTTCCTTTACACTATTTAATCTTGTTTATCATATGCATATAAATGCAGACACTATTTTTTAGATGGGCAAGCTGAGTGTTTAAAGAATGATCATTTCGAGCTTTTTTGCTTGAAATAAGATCAATTTCGATCAAAAATAAATATGTAAATTAGGTTATGTAGATTTTGGAGAGTTTGCTTACTTCAAATAGCCCACAAAAACACATATATATATCCCTATAATGTTTCTGCTAATTTTTCCATGCAGTTCTTTATAATTTAAATGTGAGAGTATTCCGAGCGGCTCCGGCTCCAGACGGTCAGTCAGCTGTTGCAGTGAGAGATGCAGGAGGAGAGATTTTTGAAGCATGGCTTGCGGAGCGCCTTGCATCACCGGCAGCTATCTTGTCTTTAACAAGCACGGGGCGTGGTCTGCACTTGACCAGGCAACGATTTTAAAGTGGTAGCCCATTCGCATCCCTCTCATCAGCACCACTGATGCTCTGAAGATGGAGCGGTTGCCCATTGACAATTGGTGTTTAATAATTTGTATGATAGCCCCACCATGCGAATATGGTTTGACCAGTCAATCGTAGGCCTACATTCGTTAAAAATCGAACATATTATTGGTATTACGGTGAGGCACCGCCCTCTATTTCACAGTGATTGACAGAGACGTCAATGATAGGCTATTTATAGGACATGTATTAGGCAACTCACACAGTCCAGACTAGTATAGTAATAAACTAGGCAAATATACAATTTGTTTTAATATTTTCCCCTTACAAAATGGTTCATTCAAACAAAGGCTTTTAGGTTATGGCTACATTCTCTGTGTCTATAAATAGACAGACAGACAAGGCAGGCTGCCCTGCCAATTGTCATGCTGTTCGTTCACATGCTTAGCGGTCAGCAACCCGAAGGTTGTACAATGTTTGTACAATTTCTCAAAAGCACCACTGCAAGTTGAATCAAGTTTAGGTTAAATCTCCAAAGTCTCCAGGTCCAGTTTTTTTGGGTTATGAAACTACAGCGCTCAGCCTCGCAAGTCTCGCGAGATTGTTAGGCTCGCCCGCTACTGAACAATCGAGCTGTCAGAATACAGTTGTGAACACAAAAAGCTGTTTATGTTAGCGAGTTGTTTGGCTACGGGTGTAGGGATTCGTTTGGTTGTTCATTTACCTAACGTTTTAACGGACTAATAACTTGTCCACACGGTCCATCGTTATTTCAGATATCTTTGGCACGTCTACGGTTTTGTCTACTCATCCACCGGCCACGTCCTTGCAACCTCAACAATGGCTGATCCCAAATACGCCAATTTGCCTGGAATCGTAAGTGTACTTTTAGCTTGTTAGTTAAGTTAGCTAGCCAGTGTCTCGTTATAGCTAGCTATCTGGCTCGATAAGATGTTTGTAACATGTTCCCTAGCAAAACCACAGGAGCCAGGCTAGCTAGCATTACTGGCTAACGCTGTCTATGTTAAGCTAACGCTAGTTAGTTACAGTAACGTTAGCTGTCCTGGTTAACTAACGTTAGCTACCTCTCTAACCTAGTTACCCGTGCATTGAAATGGTCTGCTTTTAACAAACATCTTTCAAGCAGCTCCCATCAAGCATATAACCAAATATGATCCAAAGTTTTGTATATCTGTTCATTGTTCTAACTATCTGTGATATAACTGTAGCTATTCTTCCGACAGCTAGCTAGCTAGCTAGCCTAACAGAGGCTAGCTAATCCAGCCTTGTGATTGAATGGGCGTTGGCCAGCTAACTAGTTATCTTGATAACATTAGCTGAGAGTGGTTGGGTGGTTCCACTCATTGGGTATTGTAAAATTGATAACCACAGTAAACACACAGCTAATACGGCAACTTAAAAAATAAAAATGTCCTTAATGTGTGTAAGACTGAGTGACTTGACAAAAATATATAATCCTCTGAGCAGGCTAACTGTACCAGTGTCGTTAATGTTGCATTGACAAATAGCCAGCTATGTCACTGTCATTTTGCTGTTATGGAATACGAGTCGTTGTCTTCCACAGGCGTCCAACGAGCCAGATGTGTATGAGACCAGTGACCTGCCAGAAGATGATCAGGCCCAGTTTGAGTCAGTGAGTGAAACATGGAGGGAGGGTTTTGAAAAAAAGTTTGCTGCAGCCTCTTGATCCCAACACACCAGTGTTGCTGATTGTCACATCCTCTCTAAAAACCACTGCATGATCCAGAGTAGCCCAAGATGTACTCTTAAGGAGCCTACCATTACTCTTTAAGGTTATTTTCAGAGGTAGACTGGCACTGGCAGGTAAAACAGCCAAGTACTCCATCGAAACCTGCATCAATTCTCAATTGCAACACAGTTTTGGAAACATAAAGCCCTACTTTCATATCACGTCAAAATAATTTCACAAATGCAAAATATATACTTACTGTGCACTGTTTTAAGTGGCTTTATCACAGTTGCAGCTGACTGTATTTTTTTTTTTAGTGACAACACGTTTCTGGCGGCCTTCTTCTGTTACACACATGTGTTCGGAGCATGCTAGATACCTTATTAGTGCAGGTGGACCCTCTGTCTTCCGGAAACGCGCGCTGTAACATGGAGATATGACCGCGTGGGAACCCTGACCCTATAAAGGTGTATCAATTTAACCCTTTTTGTTTTTTTGAAAAAACAATCTAGCAGATATGAAAGATAAGGTCCTTATGATTCCAAAACCGTACCTTAAGCGATGCGTGTTAATGTTCAGACCAAGCGTCGGGGCTCTTAACAAAACTCCCCCCGTACAGAAGACGCCTTCGTTTAATGACTCATGTGTGTATTGGAACTGAGTGTCATGATCAAGGGCTAAATCCAGAGATGCAGATCAATGGTCACTGATTTATTGATTTTTGCATCTCTGGATCATCGTGCTGTATCATGGATCAACTGTGAAGTAGATACCTAAATGTGTTGACTGACTCCCACCAGTGACACCACCAATCCTAATGGCGTTTTCCCTCCCCATGTCCCTCCTTCCCTCCCCTTTTTCCTCCCTGTCCCCCCGCCTGGTCTTGTTTTTCCTCCCATTGTCCCCCTCCCCCTCCCTCCCTCCCGTCTTTGTTTTCCTCCCATGTCCCCTCCCTCCCTCCATTGGTCTTGTTTCCTCCCATGTCCCCTCCCTCCCGTTCGGTCTGTTTCCTCCCATGTCCCCTCCCTCCCCCCCCGTGGTCTTGTTTCTCCAATGCCCCCTCCCCCCCTGTGGTTTTGTTTTCCTCCCATGTCCCCTCCCTCCCTCCTTTGGTCTTGTTTTCTCCCATGCCCCCCTCCCTCCCCCCTTTCGTCGGGTTTCCCACCATGTCCCCTCTCCCCCGTTGGTCTTGTTTTTTCCCCCCATGTCCCCTCCCTCCGTGTCGTCTTGTTTCCTCCCAGTCCCTCCCTCCCTCCGTCGGTCTTTTTTTCCTCCCATGTCCCCTCCCTCCTCCGTGGTCTTGTTTCCCTCCCATGTCCCCCCTCCCTCTTTGGGTTCTTGTTTTCCCTCCATGTCCCCTCCCTCCCTGTTGGTCTTTTTTTTTTCCTCCCATGTCCCCTCCCTCCTACCGTGGTTTGTTTTCCTCCCATGTCCCCCCCTCCCTCCGTTGGTCTTGTTTCCTCCATGTCCTCTCCGTGGTCTTGTTTTCCCCCCATGTCCCTCCCCCCCTTTGGGTCTTGTTTCCTCCCAGTCCCCTCCCCTCCTTTTCGGTCTTTTTTCCCCCTGCCCTCCCCTCCTTGTCCCCGCCCTCCCTCCGTGGGTCTGGTTTCCCTCCCATGTCCCCTCCCTCCCCCGGGTCGGTCTTGTTTTCCCCCCATGCCCCCTTCCCTCCCTCCGTCGGTCTTGTTTTCCTCCCATGTCCCCTCCCTCCCTCCGTCGGTCTTTTTTTCCTCCCATGTCCCCTCCTCCCCCGTCGGTTTTGTTTCCTCCCATTTCCCCCTCCCTCCTCGGTCTGTTTTCCCCCCAGTCCCCTCCCTCCCTCCTTTGGTCTTGTTTCCTCCCATGGCCCCCTCCCTACATTGGTCTTGTTTCCTCCATGTCCCTCCCTCCCTCCGTTGGTCTTGTTCCCTCCCATGTCCCCTCCTCCTGTTGTTTTTGTTTTCCTCCATGTCCCCTCCCTCCCCGTTGGTCTTGTTTCCCTCCATGTCCCCTCCCTCCCTCCGTGGTCTTGTTTCCTCCAAGTCCCCCCTCCCCCCTCCGTTGGTTTTGGTTTTCCTCCATGCCCCCTCCCTCCTCCGGTGGTTTTTTTCCCTCCCATGTCCCCTCCCTCCTGGTGGTTTGTTTCCCCTCCCATGTCCCCTCCTCCCCTGTTGGTCTTGTTTCCTCCATGTCCCTCCTCCCTCCGTCGGTCTTGTTTTCTCCCATGTCCCTCCCTCCCCCCGCGGGTCTTGTTTCTCCCATGTCCCCTCCCCCTCGTCGGTCTTTTTTCCTCCATGTCCCTCCCTCCCGGTGGTCTTGTTTTCCTCCCATGTCCCCTCCCCCTCGGTTGTTTCCCTCCAGTCCCTCCCCTCTGGTCTTGTTTTCCTCCCATGTCCCCTCCCTCCTGTTGGTCTTGTTTCCCTCCCATGTCCCCTCCCCCTACGTGGTTTTGTTTCCTCCCATGTCCCTCCCTCCCTGTGGTCTTTTTTTCCCTTTCCAGTCCCCTCCCTCCTGTTGGTCTTTTTTCCCCTCCATGCCCCCTCCCTCCCTCGTTGGTTTGTTTTCCTCCATGTCCCTCCTCCTCCGTCGGTCTTGTTTTCTTCCCATGTCCCTCCCCCCTGTTGGGTCTTGTTTCCCCCATGCCCCCTCCACCTCGTTGGTCGTTTCCCTCCCTCCCTCCCTCCGTCGGGTTTGTTTCCCCCCCTTCCCCCCCTTTTTTTCCCTCCCTCCCCTCCTCGTTGTCTTGTTTTCCTCCCATTCCCTCCCTCCTCATTTGGTCTTGTTTTCCTCCCATGTCCCCCCTCCCCCGTTGGTTTGTTTTTCCCCCATGTCCCTCCCTCCCCCTTGGTTTTCTTTTTTTCCCTCCCATGTGCCCCCTCCCCATTGGTCTTGTTTTCCTCCCATGTCCCCTCCCTCCCTATGTTGGTTTGTTTTCCCCCCATGTCCCCCTCCCTCCTTTGGTCTTGTTTCTCCATGTCCCCCTCCCTCCCCTGTTGGTCTGTTTTCCTCCAAGTCCCCTCCCTCCCGTTGGTCTTTTTTCCCTCCCAGTCCCCTCCCTCCTCGTTGGCTTGTTTTCCTCCCATGTCCATCCCTCCTCCTTTCGGTCTTGTTTCCTCCATTGTCCTCCCTCTGTTGGTCTTGTTTCCTCCATGTCCCTCCTCCCTCCGTTGGTCTTGTTCCTCCCATGTCCCCCCCTCCTTGGTTTGGTTTTTTCTCCATGTCCCTCCCTCCCTCATTGGTTTGTTTTCCTCCATGTCCCTCCCCCTCCGTGGTCTTGTTTTCCTCCTTTGTCCCTCCCTCCCTCCGTCGGTCTTGTTTCCCTCATGCCCCCTCCCCCTCCGTTGGTCTGTTTTCCTCCCATGGTCCCTCCCTCCAGGTTGGTCTTGTTTTCCCCCCTCTCCATGTCCCCATCCCCTCCCTCCCTCCGTTGTCTTGTTTCCTCCATGTCCCCCTCCCTCCATTTGGTCTTGTTTCCTCCCAGTCCCCCCCCTCCCTCCTTGGTCTTGTTTCCCCCCATGTCCCCCCTCCCTCCCTCCGTCGGTCTTGTTTTCCCCATGTCCCTCCCCCCCTCCGTTGGTTTTGTTTCCTCCATGTCCCTCCCCCCCTGTTGGTCTGTTTTTCCCCCAAATGTCCCCTTCCCCCCTCCGTCGGTCTTGTTTTTTCTCCCATGTTCCCCTCCCTCCTCCTTTGGTCTTGTTTCTCCCATGTCCCTCCTCCTTGGTCTTGTTTTTCCCATGTCCCCTCCCTACGTCGGTTCTTTTTTTACCCCAATGTCCCTCCTCTCCTCCGTGGTCTTGTTTTCCTTCCAATTTTGGCCTCCCTCCCTCACTAGGTCTTGTTTTCCTCCGTCCAATCCTCCCTATTGGTCTTGTTTTCCTCCATGTCCCTCCCTCCCCCCCTGGTTGGTTTGTTTTCCTCCCATGGTCCCTCCCTCCCTCCGTGGTCTTGTTTTCCTCCCATGTCCCCTCCCTCCTTGGTCTTTTTTTCCCCCATGTCCCCTCCCTCCTGTTGGTTTGTTCCTCCAAATGTCCCCTCCCTCCCTCGTCGGTTTTGTTTCCTCCGTCCCCTCCCTCCTCCGTGGCTTGTTTCCCTCCCATGTCCCTCCCCCTCGTTGGTTTTGTTTTCCTCCCATGTCCCCTCCCTCCCCCGTCGGTCTTGTTTTCCTCCCATGTCCCCCCCTCCCTCCTTGGCTTGTTTTCCCTCCCATGTCCCCACCTCCTCCGTTGGTCTTGTTTCTCCCATGTCCCCTCCCTCCTCGTCGGTTTTGTTTTCCTCCCATGTCCCCTCCCTCCCTCTTGGTTTTGTTTCCTCCCATGTCGCCTCCCCCCCTCCTTTGGTTTGTTTTCCTCCATGTCCACCCTCCTACGTGGTCTTGTTTTCTCCCATGTCCCTCCTCCCCCTGGTTTTGTTTTCTCCCATGTCCCTCCTCCCTCCATTGGTCTTGTTTTCCTCCATGTACCCCCTCCCTCCTTTGGTCTTGTTTTCCTCCCAGTCCCCCCCTCCCTCCGTCGGTCTTGTTTTCTCCCAGTCCCCTCCCCCCTTTGGTCTTGTTTTCCCCCATGCCCTCCCTCCCCATTGGTCTTGTTTTCTCCCAGTCCCCTCCCCCCCGTGGTCTTGTTTCTCCATGTCCATCCCTCTCCTTGGTTTGGTTTTCTCCCATGTGCCCTCCCTCCATTGGTCTTGTTTTCCTCCATGCCCTCCCTCCCCCTCCTGTTGGTCTTGGGTTTCTCCCATGTCCCCTCCCTCCCTCCGTAGGTCTGTGTTTTTCTCCCATGTCCCCTCCCTCCTTGGTTTGTTTCCTCCCAGTGCCCTCCTCCATTGGTCTTTTTTTTCCCTCCCATTCCCCTCCCTCCCTCCATTGGTTTTGTTTTCCTCCCATGTCCCCCCCCTCCCCCCTTTGGTCTTTTGTTTTCCTCCCAGTCCCCTCCCTCCTGTTGGTCTTGTTTTTCTCCAATGTCCCCCCCAATCCCTCCTGTTGGTCTTTTTTTCCTCCCATGTCCCCTCCCTCCCTCCGTCCGGTTTGTTTTCCTCCCATGTCCCCTCCCTCCTGTTGGTCTTGTTTTCCTCCCATGTCCCCTCCCCATCCTGTTGGTCTTGTTTCCTCCCATTTTCCCTCCCTCCCTCCGTCGGTCTTGTTTCTCCCATGTCCCTCCTCCCCCCGCGGTCTTGTTCCCTCCCATGTCCCCCCTCCGGGTTGGTCTTGTTTCCTCCCATGTCCCCTCCTCCCTCCTTTGGTCTTGTTTTCCCGCCCATTTCGTGGTCTGTTTCCATTACCCCCCATCCCCAATTCCCCTCACAGTCGGTCTTGTTTTCCTCCCATGTCCCCTCCCTCCCTCCGTCGGTCTTGTTTTCCTCCCATGTCCCCTCCCTCCCTCCATGGTCTTGTTTTCCTCCCATGTCGCCTCCTTCCCTCCATTGGTCTTGTTTTCCTCCCATGTCCCCTCCCTCCGTCGGTCTTGTTTTCCTCCCATGTCCCCTCCCTCCCTCCATTGGTCTTGTTTTCCTCCCATGTCCCCTCCCTCCCTCCCTCCTGTTGGTCTTGTTTTCCTCCCATGTCCCCTCCCTCCCTCCGTCGGTCTTGTTTCCCTCCCATGTCCCCTCCCTCCCTCCGTCGGTCTTGTTCCCTCCCATGTCCCCTCCCTCCATTGGTCTTGTTTTCCTCCCATGTCCCCTCCCTCCATTGGTCTTGTTTTCCTCCCATGTCCCCTCCCTCCCGTCGGTCCTGTTTTTCTCCCCAACCACCCACCCCTCCTGGGACGCTAGTGTGTACAAGTAAGAGGTTATTTTTTCTCTCAGTGCATTTAGTGGAGTTATCTGCATGGGTTGTAAATCCTTCCTTTCCCCTCTTCAAATTGTATTGAAATGACTATCTGCCTACATGATGTGGTGATGATGATGTGCCCCATTGCTCTTCTGTGATGAAGTGTTGGATCCCTTGTTTCACCTATTGAAAATGTAGCAGCACTTATCACATTACAAGACATTTTAGTTGGCCTAATAATCCTCCCATTTTCATTTTGACATAGACTTGTAGCACAAGGATATTGAATCTACAATGTCTGTCTGTCTCTGTCTGTCTGTCTGTTGATAAGACAGTTATGCTACTGTGTATGTGTTCTATCATCCCTTTCCCCCAACTGTTAACAGAAGCTTACTAACTAACGATCTTTACTAACTCTGCTTTGCTAGCGATACAAACACTGGGATCAATACTGCAACACACTTTGACATTCACAATATTAGCACATTGTATGTCTCATCAAAGCAGCTCTAAATCGTCTTCTTTCTAACCATCTCACTGTGACTTAGGAGCTCAGTCAATTCCTTTCTTCCACGGACTACATAATGCTAACAACACCAGACACTTAGACGAGAGGCTTGAGTTAAGCGCTTTGGGGCCTATCATACAAAGGAGATCAGATATTTACAATATATTCACAGTCACACACTGGATATAAAATGCATATTTAAGGCCTACCTCCCTGTGTGTACAATATGATGCGTGATGTAAATAAAGTTACTGTTGACCAGGGGTGTCAAACTCATTTTGGACCGGGAGCCGAATCCGGTCTTCAATGAGGTCTGGAGGGATGCACTGAAAATTGTGCTATATATTCCCTCGCTGTCCAAAGGATGTGGGGCTGAGAGAGAGAGAGAACAGAGACGTCATAACGATCAGACAGTCCGTGTCATAGTGAACGTCTGCAGCAGTCTGCCTCAGAACACTGGACTCTTTCTTTCTTATCTCCCCTGGCAGGCTGCTGCTGCTGTGCACGGCGTGTGATTACCACATTAATCTGTTTCTCTTTCTCCTCTTTCTCCCTGTGCTTTTCCTCTTCCTCTAACTCCTCTTGGGAACCCAAGGAGCTGGTAAGAGCTTCACTGACTAACAGACTGACTCCCCTCCTACTCCTAACATATATATTTGTACCGTCTGTGTCTGGACCGTCAGTACTGTCTGTATCAGTGGTTATTGATTTGATCCCATTTGATTCGTTGGCGCTTAGCCACATTGATCACATCATCCCTCACCCTAGTGCACAGTTCCCTGAGGCTAGTCAGAATGATGCTCTTCTCAGAATCACTGATTAAGGGAATCTGTTTCCTCAAATGAGCAGATGGAGAAAGACATGGATTTATAATTGACTGGAATAGCTAACTAGCTCATAGAGATTATGTCTAAGTCACAGGACCGGAGAAACTCTGAAACTCTATTATATATATATATATAGGCCTATGTAATATGTCTCTATAGTATGGCATCTTCCATCAATCAGCTGTGCAAGAGGGAGGTAACTTTCTCATGTAGAGCAGTGATTGGTACCTAACCCCAGTGCTGGTCCTCCAGCAATGCTGACTTTCCATCCACATTGTGTTGTCACAATACACCCCTTTACACAATTAGTTGTTCCGTTTCATTGGTCACTAAAGAGCTCATTTTAAAGACAATTGATTGTGGATTCTGCGAAACCATTGGGTGCTCAAGATTCTGAATGTTTTTTTGTTAAATCAACCATCTGATTCCCTCCTGGAATAGACATGCTTCCCCACCTCCTGAATACAGATCCATTTCAATCTGTGTGTTCTGGTGTTGGTGAGATGTGTCGTGGGTTTGCGAGTTGGAGTTGGTCGGGCGTCTCACATGGGTCCTCTCTCACACTGTAGATGAACATGAAGTTGATGTCTCAGCCACCGGATTGTATCTAAATGACTGATACTGTGTGTGAGTGTTTATACACCGAGCCATACAGGTGTGCTTCTGGTATATAGGGGACTAGGTTCCCAGGTGGTATTGAATCAGCCAGTGTGACAGATAACCCATGGAGAGAGAAGATTGGCACAAATCACCATCAATCATCAAATCTGATCTCCTTTGGAACCATTTTGGCCTACGTATGCTTTCAGGTCTTTCATTTCCAATCCATTTTGTGCATTTGAGATTTTGTCCTAGTTTTGACCAAGGCTGGGTATGTTTCCTGTGGTATCTCATTATTCTGGATGCCTCCTCCTAACAGGAAGAGCTGTGCAGTGACAGTGTGGAAAGGATCGTGGTCAACCCCAACGCAGCCTACGACAAGTTCAAGGACAAGAGGGTCAGCACTAAAGGACTTGGTCAGTATACCTTCCAACAGCTGGATGTCCACAGTGGCATGAGTTTGGCGTGGGCAGTATCTCAATTAGCCTTCCCTTGCCCTTCTCAACCATATCAGAGGAGAAAGTCCCAAGGTCTCTCCGCTCAGACCTTTTCCTCCACTGTGTGAGGAGAGAGGATGCAAGGGATTGAGGAGTTGAGAAAGCACAGGAGTTCGTCCTCGACTCAAATCTAATCAAATGTATTTATAAAGCCCTTTTGATATCAGCAGATGACCGTGTGGAATCACCAGGAGGAACTCAGGACTTTTCCCTGGTCATGTAGTCACATCATGTAGCCCTTTAAGACATGAGGCATTTCCTGAATTGGTTACAAACCGCCATCTAATATTCTTGTTTTGCCTCTAATGAATCTGTGTTTTCTCTCCCAGACTTCTCAGATCGCATCAGTAAGAACAAAAGAGTGGGTTATGAGTCAGGAGAATATGAGATTGTGAGTACATCCTGCTGCTGCAATATTACATTTCAAATTGATTATAGTTCTATAAATAGTGGCATTGATTCTGTTGGGACGCATAACCCGGAGGCAAAAGAAACGCACACCTGTTTAGGCGAGGTGCTGGCTAGCGAAGTAGAACACCTGTTTAGGAGAGGTGCTGGCTAGCGGAGTAGAACACCTGTTTAGGAGAGGTGCTGGCTAGCGGAGTAGAACACCTGTTTAGGAGAGGTGCTGGCTAGCGGAGTAGAACACCTGTTTAGGAGAGGTGCTGGCTAGCAGAGTAGAACACCTGTTTAGGAGAGGTGCTGGCTAGCGGAGTAGAACACCTGTTTAGGAGAGGTGCTGGCTAGCGGAGTAGAACACCTGTTTAGGAGAGGTGCTGGCTAGCGGAGTAGAACACCTGTTTAGGAGAGGTGCTGGCTAGCGGAGTAGAACACCTGTTTAGGAGAGGTGCTGGCTAGCGGAGTAGAACACCTGTTTAGGAGAGGTGCTGGCTAGCGGAGTAGAACACCTGTTTAGGAGAGGTGCTGGCTAGCAGAGTAGAACACCTGTTTAGGAGAGGTGCTGGCTAGCGGAGTAGAACACCTGTTTAGGAGAGGTGCTGGCTAGCGGAGTAGAACACTTGAAAAAGAAAAGGAGAGTCTCACTCTAGGAGCTCAGATGTTATAATTTCATAACCTAACAACCAAAGTTTCGACAGACAAGCTGTCTTCATCAGGGTATAAGCATAACCCATCGTTAGATTTAGAAAAATGAGAATTTCTGTGAAATCAATCGCAAGACCTTTTACACGTCCAGTTTAATCGTGTGTATAATGATTTTGCTGTCTGTTCTGACACTCCAGTGTATTGTCTGAATGTTAACTCTGTTTTCCTCCTCTCACTCTTCCTCCTTTCTCTCTCCATCCCTGTCTAGTTGGCGGAGGGCTGTGGGGTGAAGGAAACTCCCCAGCAGAAGTACCAGCGGCTGGTTAATGAGATCCAGGAGCTCAGTCAGGAGGTGGAGACCATCCAGGTACAACCCCTACACCCTAGACCACCCAGGTCAGACAGACGGTGCCAAACAACCCCTACACCCTAGACCACCCATCTTTATACCCCATTGACCTTTACCCACCCCAAACCACCTATCTTTATACCCTATTGACCTCTACCCACCCCCAAACCAGTGGTTGTCATTTCCCTGGTTATGTGCTGATCACATGTGTCTATCCTCCTCTCCCCTCAGGAGACCACAAGGGACAGCAGTTCAGAGGAGCGTCTGACTCCTGTAGTCCTAGCCCAGCAGGCTGCCCAGCTCAAACAGCAGCTGGTCTCTGCCCATCTGGACTCTCTGCTGGGACCACAGGCACATATTAACCTAGCTGATCCAGATGGAGCACTGGCCAAGTAAGAGAGGGAAAAGGGATGGGGGGGGGGGGAGAGAGATGGAAAGGGAGGAGAGAGATGGAAAGGGAGGGGAGGGGAGGGGGAGAGAAAGAAAGGGATGGGAGAGAAGGAAAGGGAGGGGAGAGAAGGAAAGGGAGGGAGGGGAGAGAAGGAAGGGGAGGGAGGGGAGAGAAGGAAGGGGGAGGGCGGAGAGGGAGAGGGAAGGGAGGGAGGGGAGAAAATGAAAGGGAGGGGAGGGGAGGGGAGGGGGGAGAGAGAGGGAAGGGGGGGGGAGAGAGAGGGAGGGGAGGAGGGCGGGCGGAGGGGGGGGGGGAATGAAAGGGAGGGGAGGAGAGGGATGGGGGGAGAGAGGGAGGGGAGGGGGAGAGGGAAGGGGGGAGGGAGGGAGGGGAAAGGAGGGAAGGGGGAGGGGGAGGGGAGCGAGAGAGGAGGGAAGGGGGAGAGAGGGAAGGGGGGGAGAGAGGGAAGGGGAGGAGAAGGGGGAGGGAGGGAAGGAGGGAAGGGGGGAGGGAGGGGAAAGGAGGGAGAGAGAGGGAAAGGGGGGGGAAAGAGGGAGAGAGAGGGAAAGGGGGGAGAGAGAGAGGGGATGGGATGGAGAGAGGGGATGGGATGGAGAGAGGGAAAGGGATGGAGAGAGAGAGAGGGAAAGGGGATGGAGAGGGGGGGAGAAAGAGGGAAGGGGAGGAGGGAGGGCGGAGGGGGGGGGGGGGGGGGGGGGGAATGAAAGGGAGGGGAGGAGAGGGATGGGGGGAGAGGGAGGGGAGGAGGGAGGGGAAAGGAGGGAAGGGGAGGAGGGAGAGGGAAGGGGGGAGAGAGGGAAGGGGGAGGAGGGAGGGGAAAGGAGGGAAGGGGGGGAGAGAGAGGGAAGGGGAGGAGGGAGGGGAAAGGAGGGAAGGGGGGGGAGAGAGAGGGAAGGGGAGGAGGGAGGGGAAAGGAGGGAGAGAGAGGGGAAAGGGGGAGAGAGAGAGCGAGAGAGGGAAAGGGGGGGAAAGAGGGAGAGAGAGGGAAAGGGGGATGGAGAGAGAGAGGGGATGGGATGGAGAGAGAGGGGGAAAGGGATGGAGAGAGAGAGAGGGAAAGGGATGGAGAGAGAGGGAAAGGGGGGGGGGGGAAGAGAGGGGGGGAAAGGGATGGAGAGAGGGAAAGGGGGGGAGAAAGAGGGAGGGAAAGGGGGGGGAGAGAGGGAGGGACTCACTGTAGCCATGAAATGCTTTGAAAGGCTGGTCATGGCTCACATCAACTATCATCCTGGACCCACTCCAATTCATATACCGCTCCAACACATCCACAGGTGACTCAATCTCTATTGCCCTCCACACTGCCCTTTCCCACCTGGACAAGAGGAACACCTATGTGAGAATACTGTTCATTGACTACAGCTCAGTGTTCAACACCATAGTCCCCTTCAAAGCTCATCACTAAGCTAAGGACCCTGGGACTGAACACCTCACTCTGCAACTGGATCCTGGACTTCCTGACGGGCCGCCCCCAGGTGGTAAGGGTAGGCAACAACACATCCGCCACACTGACCCTCAACACAGGGCTCCTCAGGGGTGCGTGCTTAGTCCCCTCCTGTACCTCCTGTTCACCCACGACTGCGTGGCCAAGCACGACTCCAACACCACCATTAAGTTTGCCAACAACACGACGGTGGTAGGCCTGATCACCGACGACGATGACACAGCCTATAGGGAGGAGGTCAGAGACCTGGCAGTGTGGTGCCAGGACAACAACCTCTCCCTAAACATCAGCAAGACAGGCGCTGATCGTGGACTACAGGAAACGGAGGGCCGAGCACGCCCCAATTCACATCGACGGGGCTGCAGTGGAGCGGGCAGAGAGCTTCAAGTTCCTCTGCGTTCACATCACTAAGGATCTATCATGGTTCACACACACCAACACAGTTGTGTAGAGGGCACGACAACGCATCTTCCCCCTCAGGAGGCTGAAAAGATTTGGCATGGTACCTCAGATCCTCAAAAAGTTCATCACTGGGGCCGAGCTCCCTGCTATTCAGGACCTCTATACCAGGCGGTGTCAGAGGAAGGCCCTAAAAATTGTCAGACTCCAGTCACCCAAGTCGTATACTGTTCTCTCTGCTACCACATGGCAAGCGGTACCAGAGCGCCAAGTCTAGGACCCTAAACATCTTCTACCCCCAAGCCATAAGACTGCTAAATATAAACGCAACATGCAACAATTTACAGTTCATAGAAGGAAATCAGTCAATTGAAATACATTCATTAGGTCCTAATATATGGATTTCACCTGACTCCGAATGTAGATGTGCATCTGTTGGTCACAGATTTCTAAAAAAAGGCGTGGATCAGACAACCAGTCAGTATCTGGTGTGACCACATTTGCCTCAAGTAGACCGACACATCTCCTTCACATAGAGTTGATCAGGCTGTTGATTGTGGCCTCTTCAATGGCTCTGCTAAGTTGCTGCATATTGGCGGGAATTGGAACATGCTGTCGTACACATCGATCCAGAGCATCCCAAACATGCTCAATGAGTGACATGTCTGAGTATGCAGGCCATGGAAGAACTGGGACATTTTCAGCTTCCAGGAATTGTATACAGATCCTTGCGATATGGGGCCGTGCATTATCATGCTGAAACATGAGGTGATGGCAGCGGATGAATGGCACGACAATGGGCCTCAGGATCTCGTCACGGTATCTCTGTGCATTCAAATTGACATCGATAAAATACAACTGTGTCCCTCTCTTTCTCTCTCCATCTCCATGGCAGACGTCTGTTAACCCAGCTGGAGGCAGTGAGGGGCAGTAGGGGCAGTACAGGGGAGGGGAAGGCCCCGGCAGCAGCTAAAGGTCCTGATGGTGTGGTGCTGTATGAACTACATAGCCGGCCAGAGCAGGAGAAGTTCACAGATGCTGCCAAGGTATGGAGCCCAGGGCAATAGGAGTGTGTTATGGTATGGAGCACAGGGCAATGGGAGTGTGTTAAGGTATGGAGCCCAGGGCAATGGGAGTGTGTTAAGGTATGGAGCCCAGGGCAATGGGAGTGTGTTATGGTATGGAGCCCAGGGCAATGGGAGTGTGTTAAGGGATGGAGCCCAGGGCAATGGGAGTGTGTTATGGTATGGAGTCCAGGGCAATGGGAGTGTGTTATGGTATGGAGCCCAGGGCAATGGGAGTGTGTTAAGGGATGGAGCCCAGGGCAATGGGAGTGTGTTATGGTATGGAGCCCAGGGCAATGGGAGTGTGTTATGGTATAGATCCCAGGGCAATGGGAGTGTGTTCTGGTATGGAGCCCAGGGCAATGGGAGTGTGTTAATGTATGGAGCCCAGGGCAATGGGAGTGTGTTATGGTATAGATCCCAGGGCAATGGGAGTGTGTTCTGGTATGGAGCCCAGGGCAATGGGAGTGTGTTATGGTATGGAGCCCAGGGCAATGGGAGTGTGTTATGGTATGGAGCCCAGGGCAATGGGAGTGTGTTATGGTATGGAGCCCAGGGCAATGGGAGTGTGTTAAGGGATGGAGCCCAGGGCAATGGGAGTGTGTTATGGTATGGAGCCCAGGGCAATGGGAGTGTGTTATGGTATGGAGCCCAGGGCAATGGGAGTGTGTTATGGTATGGAGCCCAGGGCAATGGGAGTGTGTTAAGGTATGGAGCCCAGGGCAATGGGAGTGTGTTAAGGGGTCCCCAACAGCATCGGTTATGTGTGTGTGTGGTCCCCAACAACGTGTGTCTGCATTTGCAAATGCAAATTTGAGTGAGTCCTTGGTAAATTCTGTGTCACTTGTTTACCCAGTTTTCATTCATTCATGCATAAACTTCTCCTTGGTTTGTCTCTGTGTAGATGGCAGAGTTGGAGAAGAGGCTTGCAGAGCTGGAGACGGCTGTGGGTTCTGGATCAGACAAACCGGGACCTCTGAGTGCTGGGGTGCAGGGAGGCAGTCTCATGGTGAGTCTATTCTGTCTACCACCTTGGTCCCATTCAGTAGGTCAAAACAGGATCATTTTTTTCTTGTGCCAACTGAACTCAATCAATCCAATTTTGTTCATTTAAAAAAAAAATTGCATGAGCCACAATGTCAGAAAGTACGGTAACCCTGACCTGATCATCAATCACTGTTAGCCCTGTGACTGAACGCTCGCTCTCTCGCTCTCTCTGTCTCTCTCTCTCTGTCTCCCTCTCTCTCTCTGTCTCCCTCTCTCTCTCTGTCTCCCTCTCTCTCTCTGTCTCTCTCTCTCTCTCTCTGTCTCTCTCTCTGTCTCTCTCTCTGTCTCTCTCTGTCTCTCTCTCTGTCTCTCTCTCTGTCTCTCTCTCTGTCTCTCTCTCTGTCTCTGTCTCTCTCTCTGTCTCTCTCTCTGTCTCTCTCTCTGTCTCTCTCTGTCTCTCTCTGTCCTCCAGGACACTATGGAGATGCTGCAGGCGAGGGTCAGTGCTCTGGACTCAGCCACTCTGGACCAGGTGGAAGCCAGGCTGCAGGTAACGTTGTGGATCAGCAGAATCATAACCATCAGGGGTTGGGAATGCCAAACTGACCTCGTATCAGTCTAGCAGCAATCGATGTCACACTACTTTGCAGAGAACACCCAAGGACAAGATGGGCTGATCTTTTTTGTGTTTGTTATAATGCGAAAAGTGAACATGGTTATTGTGTGATTTGTGTTTGTGTTTTCTCTGTATAGAGCGTCCTTGGGAAGATGAATGAGATTGCGAAGCACAAGGCAACCATTGAAGATGCTGGCACACAGAACAAGGTTAGTCCAGCTTTTTATGTTGAGGTTTAGAAGTAATGTAAGAGTTTATGACATCTTATTTCACACAGTAATTAGGTTATCCCTATGGCCAGGAGGTTTTCCTAACCACCTGACCTGACCAGGAGAACCTCTCGGCTCTACAGTAGTTATCTCCTGTAGATGAAACCTTGACAATCCACCACCAAACTCGGACTGCATTTTTCAGCAACTCATTCCTTGGACTCTGCCGTCTCCGTTTACCCCCAACCTTATCATTATTGGGTATGTGTTATTTCCATCAACAACTTGTTCCGTGTTGTCTTGTCTGTCAGGTGTCTCAGCTGTATGACGTGGTGCAGAAGTGGGACGCCATGGCAACCTCTTTGCCTCAGGTGGTGCAGAGGCTCATGGCTGTCAAGGAGTTGCATGAACAAGGTAATCACCTGCCAATCACCTGGCTTTCAGACCTGGCTCAGAAACATACTGACCTGCCAATCACCTGGCTTTCAGACCTGGCTCAGAAACATACTGACCTGCCAATCACCTGGCTTTCAGATCTGGCTCAGAAATATACTGACCTGCCAATCACCTGGCTTTCAGACCTGGCTCAGAAACATACTGACCTGCCAATCACCTGGCTTTCAGACCTGGCTCAGAAACATACTGACCTGCCAATCACCTGGCTTTCAGACCTGGCTCAGAAACATACTGACCTGCCAATCACCTGGCTTTCAGACCTGGCTCAGAAACATACTGACCTGCCAATCACCTGGCTTTCAGACCTGGCTCAGAAACATACTGACCTGCCAATCACCTGGCTTTCAGACCTGGCTCAGAAACATACTGACCTGCCAATCACCTGGCTTTCAGACCTGGCTCAGAAACATACTGACCTGCCAATCACCTGGCTTTCAGACCTGGCTCAGAAACATTGAAAATACTCACATTTAACTTGCAGGTGTGGCAGTTAGAAAAACAAATTTAAAGGAACGAGTAAAGTCCACAACTCTGATATGCTTTGAAAATGTTACCCACTTGTTTTTAGTTGTCTGTTCTTTGACTCCGTGTGATGTCTTGTATCTGGGTTGTAGCGATGTGGTTTGTCTGACTCTCTCTGTCACCATGTTGTGATTGATTTATGATGCTGCTCTCTGCCAGTGTAACGTCTAAGCTTTTACTTGTGTATGATTATCTGTAGCCATGCAGTTTGGGCAGCTGCTGACCCACCTGGACACCACCCAGCAGATGATCAACAACTCTCTGAAGGACAACGGGACACTGCTCTCACAGGTAGGAGACACAGTGACACATCTCACACTGCTCTGAGGTAGGAGACACAGTGACACATCTCACACTGCTCTGAGGTAGGAGACACAGTGACACATCTCACACTGCTCTGAGGTAGGAGACACAGTGACACATCTCACACTGCTCTGAGGTAGGTTGGACTGCTGCTGGGACTGTCATGTGACTTTAACCTTTTCACACCATTGAGCCAAGCTGTACTGCACTGGCCTGGTTACACATCAATCATAGTTGCTGTAACTGTGCTGGAAAGGATAAAGCTAAGAACATTAACAACTTCATAGTTACCAGTGGTGCAAAGTACTTAAGTAGTACTTTAAAGTATTTTAACTTAAATCGTTTTTTTTGGGTATCTGTACTTTACTATTTATTTATATTTTTGAATACTTTTACCCCGCTACATTCCTAAAGAAAATCATGTACTTTTTACTCCAATACATTTTTCTCTGACACAAAGTACTCGTTACATTTTGAATGCTTAGCAGAACAGGAAAATTGTCCAATTAACACATTTATCAAGAGAACATCCCTGGTCATCCCTACTGCCTCTGATCTGGCGGACTCACTAAACACGCATGCATAGTTTTATAAATGATGTCTGAGTTTTGGAGTGTGTCCCTGGCTATCCGTAAATAAAAGAAGACTAAAAGTGTGCCCTCTGGTTTGCTTAATATAAGGAATTTGAAATGATTTATATATTTTACTTTTGACACTTTAAATATGCAGAACAAAAATATAAATGCAACATGCAACAATTTAATTGATTTTACTGAGTTACAGTTCATATGAGGAAATCAGTCAATTGAAATATATCCATTAGGCCCTAAATCTATGGATTTCACATGAATGGGAATACAGATATGCATCTGTTGGTCACAGATACCTTAAACATGGGCCTCACAATGGGCCTCGGGATCTCGTCACGGTATTTCTGTGCATTCAAATTGCCATCGATAAAATGCAGTTGTGTTCGTTGTCTGTAGCTTATGCCTGCCATACCATAACCCCACCACCAGCATGGGGTACTCTGTTCACAACGTTGACATCAGCAAACCGCTTGCCCACACGACGCAATACACGTGGTCTGCGGTTGTGAGGCCGGTTGGACGTACTGCCAAATTCTCTAAAACGACTTTGGGGGCGGCTTATAGTAGAGAAATGAACATTCAATTTTCTGGCAACAGCTCTGGTGGACATTCCTGCAGTCAGCATACCAATTGCACAATCCCTCAACTTGAGACATCTGTGGCATTGTCGTGACGTGACTTAGGGCAAGTCATGACAATTGTGTTGTGTGACCAAACTGCACATTTTAGTGGCCTTTTATTGTCCCCAGCACAAGGTGCACCTGTGTAATGATCATGCTGTTTAATCACCTTCTTGATATGCCACACCTGTCAGGTGGATGGATTATCTTGGCAAAGGATAAATGCTCATTAACAGGGATGTAAACAAATTTGTGCACAAAACTTGAGAGAAATACGCTTTTTGCACATATGGAACATTTCTGGGTTATTTTATTTCAGCTCATGAAACATGGGACCAACAGTTTTATATGTTGTGTTTATATTTTTGTTTAGTGTAGATTTAAAACCAAATATTTTTACTTAAGTAGTATTTTACTGCGTGACTTTTACTTGAGTCATTTTCTAGTAAGGTGTCATACTTGAGTGAAAGTACATTTACATTTACATTTTAGTCATTTAGCAGACGCTCTTATCCAGAGCGACTTACAGGAGCAATTAGGGTTAAGTGCCTTGCTCAAGGGCACATTAACGTCATTTAGCAGACGCTCTTAGCCAGAGCGACTCGCAAATTGGTGCGTTCACCCTATAGCCAGTGGGATAACCACTTTACAAAAGTAAAGATACTTAGGTACTTTTTCCACCACTGATAGTTAAGAACACTAACGATATGGAAGAAAATGTAACCAATATCACTCCCTAAAAACACAACCTTATGGAACAATCCTTCGATAGCTTTTCAGAATTCACCGATAATTTGGTCCACATGGAAAACTGCATAGAACCCGTAAATGACTTGGAAATAGTAAATAAATGTATTTCCATGACAGAATTTAAAAAGCAGTTTTTGACTGACCAATGTAGATATTTTCAAATGCATACGACTGAAAAGTTTCATATCAAGAAATTGATTTGAAATCTTTTGGACATCAGAGCAGTCTTGAGGGAACCATATTTGAGTCAGGAAAGGATATTCATATGATAGGCTCTCTGCAAGGTTTTGTATATCTCACCTATCAAACTGACAATCTCTTAGGGGGAAAAAAATATAAACTCCTGGAACCAAGACTTAAAAAGAACTGATATTGGCACAAGATGGAGGGAATGATGGAACATAATAACGAAATAACAGTTAAAGAAAATGTAGACTTAGTCCAGTATAAACGAATATATATAATTTATTACACAAGACAAAATTAACATTCTACAGCACAACGGCATATTCATGTCTTAAGTGTAAAAATAACAACGACTGACTCAATAATCCATGCCCTCTGGGAGTGCTATAAAGTCCAAAAGTGATGGGTGGACTTAGAAGTTACAATTTAAATGTACTCATCTTTCCCTCTCCCCCTTTCCCAGGTGCAGATAACCATGAAGGAGAATCTCCTGTCTGTAGAGGATAACTTTGCTGCTCTGGACCAGAGAATGAAGACGCTCAACAAATAAATGTTTCTTTTTTTTTTTTAAACGTCTGTCAGGACAGTTGGGCAAATTGAGGGAGTGGAGGGTCTTCTTTCACTCTTCTTCCACCTCTGCCTTCTTGTTTCTCAAAGCGTAATGTTTGATTTGAAAGTTAAAACAACAACAACAAAAAATCATACTATTCTAAAATGGACACAATGTTCTTGTCTATTTTCCCCTTCTTCCACATCCCACATCTCTCTCCCATATGAAGTCTTTCATTTGGTATCAAATGCAATGCATTACACCCAATATATATATATATATAAACAAACGTCACATATGATTATTCCCTTCAAAGCTCAATGGCTTTCAGACTTAATTTTTTTCTCTCAATTAAAAATCTTCCTCCATGTCCTTTCAACCTGTTCATCCACACTAGTTTTAGGGAAGTGCTACAACATTCAATCAGCTAAGTAATTTAATTGAATGTCCAATTTGAGGGCTCAGGAAGTGGAATAGCATGTCCAGAGAAAATACGTGTCTACAACATTACTGCACAAAAACAAACAACCAATGCCGATTGTCCACCCTTTTCCCCAAAAGTATACACTTTGCACACTTCCCGTCGTGGATTTAACAATAGTGGAAACTCCCTCCAGTTAATGCTTACACCAATCCAATGACGGGAGGTATGCAAGTGCACGCTTTGGGAGAAGGGTGAAGAATCGGGACATGTCGTCAGTCAGAAAGACGATGTATGGACATGTAGCAGGAATGCATACCTGTGTGCTTTTGGGGGGGCCTGAAGTCCTGGAGGGATGCTTGTAAATATGCCTGTGTACCTTAAATGTTTCATGCTCAGTTGCTTGTAACTTATTATTATTATTGTGACTGAGACTAAAATACCACCGACACATTACTTTTTATCTGCTGCCTACGAGGGACTGTACAGTACCTGGCTGTCTGTGGTGGGGATATCATCTGAATAAACAACTACACTCACTCTTCTACAGAGAGAGAACTTGTGAAACATGGATCTGGTATAAAACAATTGAATCTGTTAAATAAAATCAAGTCCCTTTTAATAAAAACTACAGTTCAAAGTATTCTCTGCCTAAGTGTCAATATGATGCTAAATGGTCTTCAGGGAAAAGATAGTTTACATAAAATAAATACTACATTTATACAAAGTCAAGATTAAAAATAGCATAGTTATGTTTATTATAATTATTTGAATAGTAATATGTGCCTAAAAAGCCTGTTGCATGCTTCCCAGTCGAAACAGTTCGCGCATATAATATGGAGAAATGTTGTGACGTTTTGGTTTTTGGGCAGGGTTCAAGAACCGTTCATGCACTGAGCTCTAATAAGAACCGTTTATGCACTGAACTATAATAAGAACCGTTCATGCACTGAGCTATAATAAGAACCGTTCATACACTGAGCTATAATAAGAACCGTTCATACACTGAGCTATAATAAGAACCGTTCATACACTGAGCTATAATAAGAACCGTTCATACACTGAGCTATAATAAGAACCGTTCATACACTGAGCTATAATAAGAACCGTTCATACACTGAGCTATAATAAGAACCGTTCATGCACTGAGCTATAATAAGAACCCTTCATGCACTGAGCTATAATAAGAACCGTTCATACACTGAGCTATAATAAGAACCGTTCATACACTGAGCTATAATAAGAACCGTTCATACACTGAGCTATAATAAGAACTGTTCATGCACTGAGCTATAATAAGAACCGTTCATACACTGAGCTATAATAAGTACCGTTCATACACTGAGCTATAATAAGAACCGTTCATACACTGAGCTATAATAAGAACCGTTCATGCACTGAGCTATAATAAGAACCGTTCATACACTGAGCTAGTGGTTAACGTAGTGGTTAAGAGCGTTGTGCCAGTAACCGAAAGGTCGCTGGTTCTAATCCCCGAGCCGACTAGGTGAAAAATCTGTCGATGTGCCCTTGAGCAAGGCACTTAACCCTAATTGCTCCTGTAAGTCGCTCTGGATAAGAGCGTCTGCTAAATGACCAATTTATTATTTATTTATAAGAACCATTCATACACTGAGCTATAATAAGAACCGTTCATGCACTGAGCTATAATAAGAACCGTTCATACACTGAGCTATAATAAGAACCGTTCATACATTGAGCTATAATAAGCACCGTTCATACACTGAGCTATAATAAGCACCGTTCATACACTGAGCTATAACAAGAACCGTTCATACACTGAGCTATAATAAGAACCGTTCATACACTGAGCTATAATAAGAACCGTTCATGCACTGAGCTATAATAAGAACCGTTCATACACTGAGCTATAATAAGAACCGTTCATGCACTGAGCTATAATAAGAACCGTTCATACACTGAGCTATAATAAGAACCGTTCATGCACTGAGCTATAATAAGAACCGTTCATGCACTGAGCTATAATAAGAACCGTTCATGCACTGAGCTATAATAAGAACCGTTCATGCACTGAGCTATAATAAGAACCGTTCATACACTGAGCTATAATAAGAACCGTTCATGCACTGAGCTATAAGAACCGTTCATACACTGAGCTATAATAAGAACTGTTCATACACTGAGCTATAATAAGAACCGTTCATACACTGAGCTATAATAAGAACCGTTCATACACTGAGCTATAATAAGAACCGTTCATACACTGAGCTATAATAAGAACCGTTCATACACTGAGCTATAATAAGAACCGTTCATACACTGAGCTATAATAAGAACCGTTCATGCACTGAGCTATAATAAGAACCGTTCATGCACTGAGCTATAATAAGAACCGTTCATACACTGAGCTATAATAAGAACCGTTCATGCACTGAGCTATAATAAGAACCGTTCATACACTGAGCTATAATAAGAACCGTTCATACACTGAGCTATATAATAAGCACCGTTCATACACTGAGCTATAATAAGAACCGTTCATACACTGAGCTATAATAAGAACCGTTCATACACTGAGCTATAATAAGAACCGTTCATACACTGAGCTATAATAAGAACCGTTCATACACTGAGCTATAATAAGAACCGTTCATACACTGAGCTATAATAAGAACCGTTCATACACTGAGCTATAATAAGAACCGTTCATACACTGAGCTATAATAAGAACCGTTCGTGCACGACATTTTTTCGGTAGCCGAAGTCTACGCCCCTTCATCGGTGATTGGTCAACAGTACTACTAGTAGGAGTGGGAACATGAAGTGTCATTCGAGACGACTAGTTTTGATACAAAATGTTTCACTTCAGAAATGCTGCACCAAACATTTTAGCTAGATGTAAAATTGCGCGACTAAAACACCGCGGCAAAAACGTAAACATGAATGACAGATTTCTTACTCTTAGATTAATTTAGACTAAGTGTTTTCTGGTTTTGTTGCTACTAAGGTGTCTCATTGGTGACAAACAACTGTAATATTGCCGTTTTTTTTTCTCGTTTTTCAAACTAAAGTCTTTAGGGAGTATGAGAGCACATACGTTCGCTTCGCCTAGCCGAGTTAGTTGATAAGACTGACAGTTGCTGTAAAACATGACATGATTTAGACTTGATTCCAATGCTACAAAATTGTTGACTTCTCAATTCCCTTATATCAACGTAACACAGACTAAATAAATCAACCACATTCACAGGAGGGCCAAATAGAGAAGGTAAAAATGGCCCCTTACCCATAATCTCTCATGGACAGACTACGTAAATCTGACCAATTACGCGAAACTTTGTTCAGGGTTAACCGATATTACCTTTACCCCTAATCCAGGGTCACATATTTTTGCGCCCCTAAAAATTGAGGCTATGATTAGGGATAGGGTAAACTGATTCTAGATCCGTGGTTAGAGCCAGGCAACTTGTTACTCGACTGTTCTAGTCATGATTACTCATGTTTGTAATGGTGCTACATGGCCAGTAGAGGGCAGCATAGACCCTTATAAAAAGCTTAATATGAGTTCATTGGGTTCATGCGGTAGGGTTCAGCTTTTCACCACTCACTCCATCATTGCCAACTGCAGCAGTGCTGCCCAGATACAGTGCCATTGAACTTTGAACCTTTTTGGATATTTTAGCCATCATTCAAGTATATTTACTAAAACCCTGATGTAGAATAGGTATAAGGCTAATGATGATCTGATATGTGTTGTGAGTGGTGGTAGTGCTGATGTTTGAAGCAGCCAGGTTGATCAGGTGATATAGCCTAGTATCTATCTGATCGGCTGTGGGACAATGAAAACTATCAGTAAAATCTCTTGCCCCTCGTCGACCTCTGGCTGGCCTTATCACTGTAGTGCTTTTCCCCTGACATCCTCGGCAGTGCTCGTTTCTTCTTCTTCTTCTCAGCATCCTTGAAGTCCGCGTGGGTATTCTCTCCCCCCCCCCCCCGTACACGGCTGATGTGATCTGTCCGTTCAATCTCAGAGGGAGCATCCTCCCAAACTTTGTTCAGTCGCCCAACTCTGCCTTTGGGTTTGCTTAGGGACTTTTCTTTCAGGCATGCGCAGTCGCTGAGAGGCGAATGTTTGGAAATTCCATACCAACAATGCATCTGAAGAGCCGCTCGCCCGTTCTCTGCGCTGTTCTGTGGACCTGTGCTGCCCCCTCCTCTTCAAGCTTTATTATAGGTTATAATAAACCAACAATAGATAAGCGTTGCATACGGTGGTTTTAAAACTGAGCAAGTCTTATAGTAAACAGTCAACATGCATATAATATAATAGAGTAGATACATAGAATATAATATATACCTAATCAGATAAAGTTAATAGGCTTTTTTTAAATTTTTATTATTGAATATTTTAAACATACAATATACTTGTTAATAGGCAATTTCACCGAGCTAAGAGAGTCAGGTTGAGATAAGTTATTTTGCAAAATTCAGACAGCATCGATGCAACAGTGTAATTATAATTTTACCTACCTAATACAGAATAACTATAGTCTGAGAGACAGTGCCAGGTCTATTCAAAGTCCCAAAACAATCAATAAGGTATAAAACACAATATGAATATTCACCTGTCATGTCAACATACTTTCTTTCTGGATCATTTATAAAAACAATACATGAATTCCAATCCAGAAAACCACATGCTCATACAGTGCATTCGGAAAGTATTCAGACCCCTTGACTTTTCCCACATTTTGTTACGTTACGTTATTGAGTTGTTATTAGGCCTATGATTATGACAATTAGTATTTATATTATTATCGAACTAACAAATTACATAGGCTTATGGAATAATATTGTTGTGTAAACTTGTGTTCTGCTTTTTACAAATACTGTTGCTCATCCCATCACAGACTATCATAACAAAAACCCAGCCAGTGCCAACACTGTGGCAACAAAGCCCCGTGTCCTCTAACTATCCCACTAACGAATAAAATATACACGCGACACGACCGGACTCAATAAACATTAGACAGAGAAAGTATTCCGCCCAACTACTCACTCAGCAACAGACCCTCAAATCGTGACGTGGTAACCGAGGCTCATCGCGCGCTTTAACCCTGGTCCCGGAGACAGCGCGGGGCTTTCTATTCGCTACTGACGCACGCGACGCGTCTCGAATCCCACTCCGCGCTGTTGCTAGGCTGCTAAACCGCGCTGTTGCTAGGCTGCTAAACCGCGCTGTTGCTAGGCTGGTAAACTGCGCGTGTTGTTGCGCCATGCATTTAAACACTTGTCTGTCCGTTGGAGTTAAGGAATTAACCGTTAAGTGTCGAAGGATGAACATTACACTGATTAAATAACATAGGAAGTTAAATACTCTTTATTATAAAGAGAATGAACATGTTGGTTTTTGAGAGGGTTAACCTTCATTATTTATGTTTTATTATCAGTTTTCATCAACACTAGTAGCTTGTTCACGATCATCATCGCTCATGGCATTGATAGAGAGGATGCGGTAGAGGAGTTTAGGAACTCGCTCTCGACGCGCTCAAGAAGTGTGGGATGTTGTTTTGATAGCCAGCGCCCCTCACTCCACACAGAGGGCAATATAAAAAGAAACGAAATGTCTGAAATGAAACAATATCCTAATAACATGGCATGCCTTTAGAATAAACACATCCAATAAAACAAAAAATCCATCCCTATAGGGATGTTAGGCTACCTATGGCAATACATAGGCTATATTGCATTGTTTCCTTTTGAGGAGAAAACAATCGTTTGAAGTTGGATTTGTTGCAGCAGGCCATTCTACTCTTGAGAAATAATATTATACACACAGAGAAAGCAGGTTTCAGTCGGACTGTAAAGCATTTCATTACTCTCACAAACTTGAATACTGTACAATGTGGCCCTCACACGCATAAAGAAAACGGTCCCCAAACATAAAGATAAATACCAGAGAATAATAGGAGCAAGCCTATATCAAAAATAGAAAATCTGAACATAAATTATAAATAGCCTATAGTGTAGCCTAATATTTGTGAGAAAAACTTTGCTTAGACATGCTAAAATATTCTTGCATAAGTGTATTTTTTTTTATTTTTGTTAGAGACAGAGACTGTTAAATAAAACATGCTCTGGTTCTCCCGGTCTTATCTCCGACTAGAAATGGGTTGCCAAGCATTGCATCATTCCTTTCATGTGACTCCCATACGCCCCAAATTCATCCTGGCAGTATCACATCTTCACGTCACACAAACTACCCAGATGGAGACAACTAGAATACCCTTTAGAGCCCGCCTTTACTGTTTAATACAATTACCAATTGGATGTCGCCAAGCAAAATAATTTAGCGCGTAGATTACGATTGTACCATCTGGTTGTCAGTAGTTTCATCATCAGCTAACGTCTTTGTTAGGTTGTGTGAAAAAAAAACCTTCCCGTAGAGTTCGGTTGGCGTCACCATATATAAAGATCACCGGGAGTTTCCGAAAAATCACATTCAGTATCCTAAACTGAACAATGGTTAACATGAGCTATCACCAATCTCAACTAAAATATATACATACTCCGAATCCAAGAGAGTCGAGAAAGCGAAATAATAAAAGAAAAAGGGTAAGTGAATTTTATTCTGTATAGTTTTTAAAGTTGTTCATTGTCTTTTAGGGACTTCTATAGAAGTTCTAATTTTCATTTGGCAGCTGATCGTCTCTCTCTGGCTTTCCCTTTTGGAAAAGAAGAATGTGAATGTTGTTTGGCAACTTTCCCATGTCTGTTTTAGGACAGCAGTTGCTGTGTGCAATTATAATTGACATTTGTTATATTTTTATCCAACATTTATCTGATTATTTGACTTTGACCCCAAGTTGCGTTCTCTCTGTCACGAGCTCGCTCTCGGACATTTGACATCACAGAGACAGCTGGGCTGTCAAACGTTTATATAACGTTTTACAAAGTTTTGTTTCGGTTTTATTAACTTATTATTTCCCATTATCTCCATTCAGGCTTTTGTTTGATCAATCTATAAGATGCCATTTATCCAGACATTACATTTGTTATGTTAATAGCCTATTAAATAAAAATAAAAATAAACACTTATTTGCATTGACAGAATAAGATCGCATGGCTATTTGGAGTGGACTTTTCATTAGAATAGAATAGAAAGGTCTTCATTGTCTCATCCCAGTGTTCTGGCCCAGTGGAGGTGTCCGTTTTCACCCTGTCTTGGACTCTGATTCCATGACGTAATGCCTTGGCTTGGAGAGCGAGCAGTAGCCTACCACACCACATCCGAGAAACACATTTAGCCAGCAGTTGCTTAAATGTCACATTTCTGAAATGTATTCTTCAAAGAATACATGATAGAATATATAGATATTCTTCATAAAAGTATTTGCCAAAAATTGAGCTCCATTTATTGATTAATGTCTACCTGTTTGTCATGCTAGCTGTGTTGTGGTCACATGTATTTCCTGTCCATCAAGTGGTTTTTAAAGTACCTTTAACTATTCAATGTCAACGATAAACCTCTATTTTTAGAAAAATATATATTGCGTGTTGGGAAGATTGCATGTAGAAATCTATTTTTTCTTTTTCATGAGCTTGTGTAAATGGAACTCAAGGAAGGATGTTTTGATCGAAATAGAATTCATCGTGGACGGTGGCAGAAGGGGGAGCCCTCGAGTCCCTACGGAGTGACCTGTTTTTGATGATTTCCCACACATCTTTTTTTTTTAAACTGAACTGTGAAGCCATAGCATAGTAGTTTGTCAAATTATTGTATTAATTTAATCCACATAAAATCATTTTTATAGGCCTGTATTCAACCATTTTAGCAATGTATTATCAGGAGGTTGTTTATCAAGTTGAGTGCATCAGCTATATCTGTCTGTTGTTATAAAATACCAATTTATGTTCCTTTAAGCACATTTTAACATCTAGACACACTGTATTGAATAATTGTTGCAATATTTGATGCCATGAATTCTTTCTTTCTAGACTTGTTGGGACAAATTATCGCCAACAACCAATTGCCAGACTTGATTATAAAAGACTCTCAGAAGGTGAATTGCATTTCCCTATTCATTCTTTTGACTTCTGTGTTGTTTTTACTGAGTGTTGGATGCTATGTCTATGGATGACAAGTTAACCTCATTATACTTGCATCATATCAATGCATTTATTTTCAAGATTTTAACTTGATAATGTTTGCAATTAAGTCATCATTATAAATCTGAAATGTCATAGACTGCAAATTGCAAGAACATATCACCCTGGGATCAGGTGTTAACAAAATGTAGAATGTAGCCTATTAAACACAAAAACTGTTTCAAGTGAGAATTTGGCAGGTCTGAAAAAGAAAGGACATTTTTGCTTATTTCACCCACATTTTATTATCTTCTTTCAAAAAAAAACTACTGCTTAGTTCCAGTAGTTTCCTACACCGCTAAATGGCAAAAAAAAAAAAAGAAGTAATTAGCTACTGAAAACACTACCAAGATTTGAATTTAGTTCAACTACCACCAATACGGTCCCGTGTAGCTCAGTTGGTAGAGCATGGCGTTTGCAACAGCAGAGTTGTGGGTTCGTTTCCCACGAGGACCTGTATGAAAAAAAAATTGTGCTAAATTACTTAAATGTAAACGTGAAATCTCATGTTTTTAGCCATATAATTCTATTATCATAAATTGGTTTGTGCAGTAGACCCATTTGTCCACTAAGTGCCACTATTTTAACATTTAGTGAAAAAGTGGCTGTTTTCACACAATATAGAAATTATAATACCGGTACTTTGTTCAATTGCTTATCTTCCTTCAACAATTGATAATTCGAAACAACATGTGCTAACGTAGCCTGTTCTATTGCACAGCTCTCTTACATGTAGCTTTCTCCTTAGTCATTTGTATGTGGATCCCGATGTCTAGCCTACTGTATAGAAACTGTTCATGCAGAAGATGCTACATTAATGAATGATTTCATCATTCTAAAACCAAACCCTCCTGTCTGGACATGATTCTAAAACAGTCTCATCTCCATCTTTCCACCTCCAGTCCTGGTCCAGTGTGTTCCAGCTCGTGGCTGTGGAAGAGTGAGTGACGGAGAGAGAGATGACTGCAGAGTGGCTTCACCTGCCCCCTCCATACCCCCCAGGTGTGGGGCCGCTGTGTGGTGCAGAGTTGGAGGCGTGGTATGAGGACCTGCAGGATATCCTGGGTTCAGACGGGGGCGGGGCCAAGCTGGCGCGTGCCCCTCCCTGCTCTGAGGTCAGTTGAGATTTTAAAAATTAGTTTTGATCAATATCGATTGATCTATGAACCATGATTGATCGATGACTGATTGATTGATGATCGTCAATGTGTTTTGGCTTTTAATTCGTTTTTGGTTATCTACATTTTGTTTTTTGCTTCATCTTCTCTTCTTCATGATGCAACTCTTTCCACAGTGCTGATGGAAGAAGCTCTTTCGACACAACCACTCTCTACCGGGCCATGTTCCATTTACTCACCTTTCTCTTCTCTGTCTTCTCTTCTATTCTTTCTCTCTTCTCCTTCTCTCCTTCTCTTTTCTCCAGAAGGAGCCGGAGTTCCTGGATGTTCTGGAGAGCTGTTCCCTGACATGGCTGACAGACGGGGTGGGGGTGGGCGTCGGGGGGGAGGCGTGGGGTGGAGTTGAGGGGGTCCAGAGGGTCACGATCCCGGAGGAGCCTCCTACCCATCCGCCCCACCACACCTCCTCCTGTCTGAGTCCAGCTGAGGCGCAGGGGGACAGAGAGAGAGGTAGCGATGGAGAAAGAGGGGGCTCAGGAGGAGGGGACCTGCTACCCCCAGAGTTCTTTGAGTTGCTGAGCGAGGGAGGGGTGGGCGTTGTGGAGACCGCAGGGATCATGGTGAGCGGTAGCTACCACCATCATCAGCTTCATCATCACTCCAACAACGTCCAACAACCTGAGTCTCCCTCCGCTAGCGAGGAGGAACACCCCTGTGTCCCCGACTCTCCCTCCTGCTCCTCCTCCGCCTCTCCTCCTTCCTCTCCTACTAGCACCGCTTTCTCCTCGTCTCAGCAGGACAAACGCAAGAGGGGCAACTCTCTGTCCTTCCCTTCCTCCGGCTCACGCTCATCCTCCTCTTCCTCTTCTGCGAAGAAGAGCAGGAGAGAGAAGGAGCAGGAGAAAGAGAGGAAGGTGCAGGAGCTGACGGACCAGAACGAGAGGTTGAAAGCGGAGATAGACAGACTGGGAGAGGAGGTGCAGAGGACACGCCGAGCCCTGATAGAGAGACTAGTCAACACCAGGAAGTCCTGATAGAGAGACTGGGAGAGGAGGTGCAGAGGACACGCCGAGCCCTGATAGAGAGACTAGTTAACACCAGGAAGTCCTGATAGACAGACTGGGAGAGGAGGTGCAGAGGACACGCCGAGCCCTGATAGAGAGACTAGTCAACACCAGGAAGTCCTGATAGAGAGACTAGTCAACACCAGGAAGTCCTGATAGAGAGACTAGTTAACACCAGAAAGTCCTGAGAGAGAGACTAGTCAACACCAGGAAGTCCTGATAGAGAGACTAGTTAACACCAGAAAGTCCTGATAGAGAGACTAGTTAACACCAGAAAGTCCTGATAGAGAGACTAGTCAACACCAGGAAGTCCTGATAGAGAGACTAGTCAACACCAGGAAGTCCTGATAGAGAGACTAGTCAACACCAGAAAGTCCTGATAGAGAGACTAGTCAACACCAGAAAGTCCTGATAGAGAGACTAGTCAACACCAGGAAGTCCTGATAGAGAGACTAGTCAACACCAGGAAGTGAGGGAAGAAAAGAGGAGAGAGGGATGAAGAAAGGAAGGAAGTAACACGGCAGAACATTTACATTTGGACTAGCAGGTTGGCGGTGAAGGGTTTAATGTGGTGGTGACTTTGAAATGCATTTTAAGACAGCGTTAGAAAGAAACCAAAGATACGTGTTGTGTTTTAAGAAGAATGTTAAATAAATAATTTGCTGAAAAACTGTATGAGAGAAAGAAGGAAAGGTAGATGTAAAGAAAGAACGAGTGATGAAAGAGAAAGTCCAAGTAAAACCACGGAGAGAAGGAACTGCAGCATTGTGGCAGACGTACTGAGAGATCGACGTACAGCATGTCAAGTAATGGAGGAAAAGGTTCAAAAGGTGGATGGGTCATGCAATGCCTCTGTTGAGCGGTTACAGTGTACTGTATGCATGTAGGGCTGGATGTCAGGAAGCATCTTTGAAATATATTGTTAACTAAACGCCCATCACAAGCATTGAATGATTGGGGCATTTAGCTTATTCAGTCAAGTGTAGTGTTCAGTATGAAGTAGGGATGGGTTAGATTAAATTAACTGATTGAGGGCGTCGATTCCAAAATTAAGGAATTGATCGGATGCATCTACCTATGAAGACTGTTAACCAACACCCATCACATGCATCGCGTTCATAAGGCATCAAATGGAAAGAAAAAAAGGTGGGACTACCTGGACAAAAATAAACACTTGTTTAGTTTCTGTTGCATGCCCTAATGAACGCGATCCTGATTGGGCGTTTTGCTCGTTAAGCCTAGTGAAGTGATTTGGATGAAGTAGGGATGAGTAAAATGATCGGATTATGTGTTTGGGTTCGTCGGGCATTGATTCCAAAATTACGGCTAATCGGAAAAAAACGATTCAAGTGATTATTCCCATTGCTAGGAGTTACCGATTGGGGGTTTGGTTTACGTTTTTATTGATCGGCCCCCAGCGACCCTCAACTAAGCGATTCTGACAAACTTGTGTTGGACTCATTCCTAGTATGAAGGCTGTGAAAACTAGGACCACGGAGAGTGCATTTCATTGTCACCACATCCTTTATCTAGCCTGGTTAAACCTGACTGAACGCTACGCCTACCATTCTGTCACTGGGTGGCAACTGTGAAACGTAGCTAAAAACAGTACGAATACCAGGCTACTGTCCCTTATCCGCCAACCTCAAAATCTAACATTAAGATTCATCCTAAAGGCTGCAGAGGCCATCAGAGATGATATTTCTTGCCCAGTTTGTTGAGTAATACGGATCTCAGGAAAGTTTGCCAGTCAGTACTCAGTACTTATATAAGCCGCTATGGCTTTAGTGTGTAGGGATAGTTTTACACCTAGAACGCTAATCTTTTTCTATCAAATTGACTGAATTTAGTGGTAGTAATATTTACAATGTAGAGCTCTACCCTGATTCACATATATCTTTTATATACTCCTTTATTATTACCGACACAGTTCTACTGTAATATACCTTTACCGTACCCATATTCATTCAACATGTTATTGTAAACGATGTATCGGTTAGGTGGTTGAATTAGAGGAAAACTAACGTGCTCGTCTTTTATTTCTGTTATTACACGAAACATTGTATTGGATTTACTTTGTTCATTTTAACTGTATTATTGTTTGTTCAAAGTTGCAAATAAAATCCGTAAAACAATTTTATAGTGTATTGGAATGTCTATTTGATTTCAATGTAAAGTGAGATGCATATAAGGTCCAAACAAATGCTTTAATCTTTCAACGTGACAAATTAAGAAAAAAATACAATTCCAACTTGGCCTGTTTCTGAATTCATTTTCCACAGTATTTGCAAAAAAAGTTATTTTTAGCAAACGTATTTATTTGATTGAATAAATGGGTATGGGGATATGTAAAAACATGACATTTTTTAAAAATAATATAACAATATCATAATATTATTACACACCTGACCCAGACATCGATCACACACTGACCTGTAGTAATGGATAGAACCGTAGCCTGGTGGTAATGGATAGAACCCCGTAGCCTGGTGGAACCAGCCTGATTGCTGCCGTCACCATTTTATTTCTCTTCATGAAAAATAAAAGGGGAATCAACATCGCTACCAGGCTACTAGAACCTGAAGAAATATACTGCCAGAATATTTTGTAGCAGTTTTCAAATTCCCCCTCTTTGATTACTGATCTTTCCTATTGCTCTGTCCCCATAGCAACACCACATTGTCTTCCATCCTGTCACAGACCTGTTTATGACTTCCTCACATATTCTATATCTTGATCCTATTCTCTATTAAGGTAATTATTCAAATGTTACTTCCCTCTATTTCTCTCATATTGCTCCTGCCTCTGTCTGGCTTCCCTCTCTTTCTAATCACTTCTTCTTGCCTTTCGTCAGGACTGGTTCTGGGTTCTTTCCCTCAGCCAGGGATAGCTGTTTCTTCAGTTCCAGGAGTTTGGTGACCTCCGCTCCAATCACAGCCTTCTCTGCCTTCTGGCCCTTCAGGGTCCGGACCTTCTCCCCCTGGCAGAGAGCAGAGAACAGGTTAGACACACGTCATTACCAACTAATAAATCAATAACTAACACCTTCTCCCCCTGGCAGAGAGCAGAGAACAGGTTAGACAGACGTCATTACCAACTAATACCTTCTCCCCCTGGCAGAGAGCAGAGAACAGGTTAGACAGACGTCATTACCAACTAATACCTTCTCCCCCTGGCAGAGAGCAGAGAACAGGTTAGACAGACGTCATTACCAACTAATACCTTCTCCCCCTGGCAGAGAGCAGAGAACAGGTTAGACAGACGTCATTACCAACTAATACCTTCTCCCCCCTGGCAGAGAGCAGAGAACAGGTTAGACAGACGTCATTACCAACTAATACCTTCTCCCCCTGGCAGAGAGCAGAGAACAGGTTAGACAGACGTCATTACCAACTAATAAATCAATAACTAGCAACTTCTCCCATGGCATAGAGAACCCATTGGTTTAACACAGTGAGTCAGTATTATCAACTAGTAAATAATTACTAGCTAGATACTGTCGTCATAACAAGCTAGACTGTTGTCATTACAAACTAGTAAATCAATATCTAAAGGCCCCTCCACTTGGTCCGCACAAGGTGTCGAGCTCGCTGCGGGGTCAGGTGTAGAAGTGGGTGAAGGTTCGAGCTCGCCGCGGGGTCAGGTGTAGAAGTGGGTGAAGGTGTCGAGCTCGCCGCGGGGTCAGGTGTAGAAGTGGGTGAAGGTGTCGAGCTCGCCGCGGGGTCAGGTGTAGAAGTGGGTGAAGGTGTCGAGCTCGCCGCGGGGTCAGGTGTAGAAGTGGGTGAAGGTTCGAGCTCGCCGCGGGGTCAGGTGTAGAAGTGGGTGAAGGTTCGAGCTCGCTGCGGGGTCAGGTGTAGAAGTGGGTGAAGGTTCGCTGGCTGCGGGGTCAGGTGTAGAAGTGGGTGAAGGTTCGAGCTCGCTGCGGGGTCAGGTGTAGAAGTGGGTGAAGGTTCGAGCTCGCTGCGGGGTCAGGTGTAGAAGTGGGTGAAGGTTCGCTGGCTGTAGCCGTTTACGTCATTGCAACTTAGTTCTCTATTGAAAAACAACGGTTTGCTTGGAGCGATGCTGTTCTTGGGCGTGTCATGTGAAGTTGGGTCATCAACACCAGCTAAGACAGTCATCATTACCAAACTGTTAAATCATCGAGCCGATCCATGGACACACTGACATAACTTGAAATGCTATGGTTGCGTTCCTTTACACATTACTATGTACCGGATGTCATACTATCAAGACTTGTCTGGTGAAAATCATGTGTAACTGGCTTAGGGGACAATTATTTAATCGTTTAATTTAATTGTTTCACTCCTAATTTCTAATTCGCTACATCCGTCCCCCATCTTACTTGTTCTGCCACGGCCAGTGTTAGCTCCCTGGCTCTCTCAGCGTCTGCGCCGTTCGTTGTAGTCTGAGCAGCAGGAGCTGAAGCCGGGGTTGGGGCGGGCTGGGCGTTCTTCTTGCCTTTCGTCAGGACTGGTTCTGGGTTCTTTCCCTCGGCCAGGGATAGCTGTTTCTTCAGTTCCAGGAGTTTGGTGACCTCCGCTCCAATCACAGCCTTCTCTGCCTTCTGGCCCTTCAGGGTCCGGACCTTCTCCCCCTGGCAGAGAGCAGAGAACAGGTTAGACAGACGT